ACGTGGCGAGGCCAAGACCGCTTGCTCTCGTCGACCTCCGGCGCCATTTTGGGCGGGTCGGAGATCTTCTGATGATGACGTCATGCCTAGGCCTTTTGTAGGGGGTTTTGGCAAAGCGCCGGCCTCCAGCTGGCAACGGTTCCGACTGGGGTGAAGCTTTTAAGGGAACTGCTTAAATCGGCTTGCTAGCATGTCGCGCTACGATTCATCATAGGGGGTCATAAAGGTGGTAGAAACTTGAGTTCCTGTTTGGCCTTTGGCCATACAGGAACTTTGTATGGCCAGAGGAAAGGAGACGCGCAACCCTGGCTCCCCACGGGTTCCAGAGCTGCGCGTCTGTTTTCCATATGCCGCCGTGCCGCTATTCGCCGAGATACGATCACGTGAGGAGCCGACTCGAATGCCGTGTAGGAAAGTAGACTTTGTGCCGCCCTGCCGTACGTTCCCCTGCTTTTGAGTGCGCCGCGCGCCTCGACCATGCGGCGCTGCCATTCGCCGATTTCAGTCACGTTAGGAGCAAACTCCGAATACCGTGCAGGAAAACCGGCGCTACGAGCATGAACGCGCAACTCTGGCTCCCGTGGGAGCCTACAGACCATTCCATTTAGCGCTCTCTGGGCGGCGCCATTTTGTTCGACAGCACAGCCCTCTCCATACATCCGAGAAATCCGGGAGAGAGAGGGCACGCGCCCGACTCCGCTAGCTGACGACAAAACGGGAGGTTGCCATTCTCCATCTTCGGGCTGTATCGGCGGGCTGTACGGAACATCGAACTCTTGCTCGTGGCTGCCGTTCTGAAGTGGTTCACGTTCTTAGAATAGTTATGACTACTCCAAAATCAGCCTAGAGCTCTCTGTTGTTCTACTTCGGTAAATGATCAACAGACATATCTTTTTTCCGTTACTTAAATAGCAGTTGAGTCAGCCGGCAGTACTACCCTCAACTACTGCGTGTATTGCGGCAGGAGACCACGTTTTTATTTATTATTTCAGACATTTACTCATGGTCGCTAAAGGCCTATACCAGTACGAACCCTGTATACTAAAAAAGGTACAACCACCGGATTCACTTTTCGCCGGAGAGACCGGCCAGTCCGACACAGTTTCCCCCTTTTTTTTTATTTGCACGCAGTTGGACTCTGTTATTCTTTTTATCTAGCATAGTAAAACACGATAACTGGCATAGCGAAATCTGCGCATCTGCGCTTGAAATTTTCAAAATGACGCGATTTTCAACAGAGTTCGCACGCCAGCTGGATGGTAGGTACAGTCCACTCGGCGGAGCAGACGACATCCGGGTGAGAGGGGGAGGACATTTTTTTTTCGCTTTTTGCCCTCTCTGCTTTGACCCTAATGGAACGGTCTATAGGCTCTGGGCAGGGTTCCAGAGAGCGCCAACGTCGGTTGGTCATCACCGCCACCGTGGCCAAATGAGGCAGTACTGGGACGGCTAAAATCGGCAGCGCCTCCGGCATACCCTTGCGAGATTACGTTATTACCAACTCCAAGCGTTGTCTTGTCGCGCGTTACACTACCGACTGTTTTAATAATAATAATAATAGCTTTATTTTAAGATGTGTAAGCATGGTGGGTGCTGAGGAAAAAAGCTGTCCAAGCAGCTTGACTGGTGTAAGCCCCCCTCAGGTACATACAGCGGCGAGAAAGACATTTGAAAAGAACACAAGAAATTATATAATAATACAAGGTACTTTCATCACAACAATGAACAGACAAACAACAGCAATACATCGAACAAGAATAACACTTGCCTATAAAAGAAATCGGGACGCTGTACACAAGAAAGGGAAAACTATATAAAATATTTTAAGCTGCTTCAACACAATTTATATATATATATATATATATATATATATACATGTATACATACCCATATACACATACACACACATATACACATACGCACAAACCCACATATATATATTATACATACGTACGTACGTACACATATACACACACGTACACACGGACATACAGATGTGTGTTTTTATGCTTCGTACATTGCGCGAAGTTCACTATGTCTGCAAGTGTACAGATCAAAATGAACGTTGTGATAGTTGTTTAAAAGGGATGGTAAAAGATAACCGAGACATTTTTTTCCGGAGTTCAGTCGAGTTGTAGAAACAACCCAGCTCTCTTTGTGTCTTGTAGAGTAACTATAGAGGTTTTTATTTGCAGTTAGGAAAGATTGCGTATATTACTTATATTTCTCTGTGTTTCTAATTTATAGCGAGCACTCAACCGATATCTGTATAGGTTGTGTGCCCTGATAACGCGAGAACGACGAAAGAAAATTGAACTTGGTGTTCCATAAGGGGCGTTATAGATGTGGCGAACATATTTCTTCTGTAATAAATGAATACGCTGAATACGCTGTAGGTTTGAAGATGTAGTTGTCCCCCAAACTAGTTGACAACAGTTTAAGTGTGAGTAAAACAGTGAATTATAAAAAAAAAAAACTTAACTTGTGCGGGAAGGAGGTATCGAATGCGTCCAATTATGCCAGTGATTTGCGCTATTTTTGTTAGCAAGTAGTTTACGTGAGCGTCCCATAGCATGTCGGCGGAAAATATGACACCGAGACACCTGAAATTATCTACCTCTTCTATACGACGTGAATTAAGGAATATTTCTGGATGTGTAGGAACGGGCTTGTTTTTGGGTCTGAATATAACCGCCTTTGTTTTTCTTTCATTTACTTGCATAGCATTAGCTGCCGACCATTTCTCGAGTGTTTTCATTGTATTATTACATCGATCTATAAGTTTATCAATGTCATGGCCAGAGAAAAATATGCTAGTGTCATCCACATACACCATAAATTTGGCTGTGTGGCTGATATTTGCAATATCGTTAAGGTAAACGTTGAAGAGTAGTGGCTCTAAAATTCTGCCCTGTGGCACACCACAAAGCACTGGTTGCGCCTTTGAGTGTATATTGTTAATCTGGACGAATTGTTTTCGAGTAGATAAATAAGATTTTAGAAGCAATAAAACCCGTTCTCGGATACCCTAAGCTTTTCAAGCAAAATGTCATGATTTACTAAGTCAAAAGCCTTTGAAAAATCCACAAATACACCAAGAACGACGGCTTTGTTTTCAAAATGTGTGAGTATATATTCTTTTTGTTCAAGTAATGCTAGTTCACTTGATTTGTTTTTACAAAAGCCGAATTGATGTGGCGTCAACAAGTTACACTTATCAATAAATTCCGAAAGTCTCGAGTGCAAATTTTTTCAAATACCTTTGAAAAAACTGGCAGGATGGAAATTGGCCTATAATTTCCAGGATCATTTCTATCTCCCTTTTTGTAAAGTACTGCAATCTTTGCTTTTTGCATTTTTGATGGGAAGACAGCTGTCTCTAAATAGGTGTTAAATATATCAGAATCTATCAAACGTTAAATTTATAAATGGGCATCCGTGTGGTTGTGTCTTTCTAGCATTAGGGAGTTTTAGTATGTACTGTACCTTCCTCAATAGTTAGAGACAACCCGAAACGGGAGCTAATATTACTGTCAAATATAAGTAAACTCAAATAAACAAGGACAGTTTTTGTTACGCTGTTTGCGCGCGCCTCAAGATAACAAAAGCGAAGACTTTGTCCAGCTTCCCTCCTCTACAAAAGCGCACTGCAAAAGCGGAAGTGAAAACGCCCCCCTCCCCCCTCTTACCCACCCTTTTTTTCTTAGTGAACTTTTCCCGCATGAATAGCTGACCTCATTTCGGTGATCAGATTGATTTCAGTCCCCTCGTCGCCGTGTTCAAGACGACTGTGGTGTCCGAGGAATGTGTTTTTCGTGCAAGGTGGCTGTAGTTCAGACGGTGTCGTACGCTGTTGCTCGGCGCAAGCTGATCCTCGTTCTCGTCGATTGAATGTGCTGTTCACTTTTACATGGAACAAAAATAAACGCCGCATGAATAACCTTCTCTCGTGGGGTAAGTACTTTTTTTTATTATTATATCTTGGGCAGCCTTTTCTCGCAGCAGGGATGAAGTCAGGACCGCATAGATACGGGTCGAATGAGAGCAACCACCTTGGGCAGGCGCGCGATCATCCTAAAGGCGCAAGCGACAGTTCGTTCTACAATCGACGAAGCGGAGAGAACGCTCACTTTGGTTTTTGTCAACTACGATCAAACGTCCACAGAGCGTCGTTCAATCAAGATGTGTCCGCGGAGCAGAAAGCAGTGACAGTGTCAAAGTATACTGATCTGACTCTAAAGTCATCGCATCGAATCCAAAGACAACGCCGGGCTTCGAGCGCATTAATTTCAACTATCGAGTTAAATAGCGCATTTAGAAATGCATCTCTAGTCAGGCAATGTGAACGGAATGCTTATTTTACCTGCTTTATGGCATTTATTCATCTCCGACGGGCACCTGTGGAGCTTTACGTCTGCTAAGATTCCAGGGTTGCGACAATCCGGTACGCAATAGTGCCTACTAAATTGATGCGTGAACAGCCCCACGAGCAAGCTGGCGAAAGGGCCTTCTCAGTGTTGCGAATATTTTGAGCTAAGTGGCGCAACGTGTCACACCAAACTTGGCTGCCCGGAGGTATACAGGAACTCAAGTGGAAACCTTATGCAATCTTGTGCGCAGCAAGGACGAGGGCAAAAGAATTGAACAGGACACAACAAGGCGCAACTTTTAACTGACCTTTATTGAATACGTGTTCCGGTATTTATAATACCGGAACACGTATTCACGTATAAATTGTTCCACTATTATAAATTATACGTATAACACGTATAATTTATAATAGTGTAAACATCTCGTCAAAATGGCAAAGAACAAATTTAGCTAAGTAAAAATTTAACAAAAACGATAACTGGGTTTTTCCACCTACGGCGCTGCTCTGCTAACCAACGTTACTAGATTTTCTTCAGTTCCCAAACTACGGAGCTCCGCCTGATGCCTATCTGTTGTGCTCCGCTTAGGGGCGCGCGCGACGGAGTTTGCCCGGCAAAGCGCCAAACCCCATGGCCGACCCCGCATGGCAAAACGTGAAATACGTTGCGAGCAGTGAGCGGCGGTGTTTCAGTTTGGTTACGTTGGTGCTCGTAGCTGCGTGTGTTTCGTTTGCGCATCGTGCTGCATGCATGAACCATGCCACGCTCTTTCGTGCCACGGTGTAAAAGCGAGTACGATTCTGTGCGATCTGCAGGAGAGAAGAGATTTTTTTCAGGCCACCCACCCTATTGAAAAATCCGGCAAAATCTTCCAGTGACATTCGGTGGAAACGGGTTAATTTCCACCCACTTTCACCAGAAACCAGGGTCGTTTACCAGTTTTTTTGGTGGAAATATTACTGGCTGCCACTTTCAGTAACCAGATTTCGCTGGACCTTTTACCGGAGCCACTTACGGTTAAAATCGGTCAAAAACTTCCCTTAACATTCGGCGGAAACGGGTTAATTTCCACTCATTTTCACCAGAAACCAGCATAGCCACTTTCGCTGGAAGTTATACCAGAACCACTTTCGATTACCCGCCGCTGGAATCCTACCGGAAGCCACTCTCGCTTGCCGGACACCGAACATCACTGGAAGCCCACGCAAGGGGAACGGCCAAAGTCAAGGAAGCCAAGAAGAGCAGGGGGACTGTGCTTGTAATGGCGGCCGCCAATGCAGTGGCATTCTCGTGAGTGCGTGTTTTGCTCGAAACGACGTTGCAATTCTGGAAGAAGTGCGTCCAGCGAACTGTTTTGACGATCCAAAAAGGGGGGCAGCGATCACCGGCAGCTTGATATTTGCGACAGGCAAAAGTCTGGGCCTGAGCAGATACGAGACCATTTGAGCGGAATTCTCGTGAGTGCGAGTTTTAGCTCGGGACGACGTTGCAATCCTTAAGAAGTGCGTGCAGTGAACTGTTTTGACGATCCAAAAAGGAGGGCACTTTCACCCCTTTTCATTCGAAACCAGTTTACCAATCTTTGGTAGATTATTGGCCAGCAAACAGATATCACTGGAATGCCGCCGGCAGCCCCTTTCGTATACCATGCAGTCGACCCGGTTTTCCTAGAAATCTTACCCAAAACGGGTGACTCGCTTCCATGTTTACCGACCTTCACTCGAAGCCGACGCGAGTGGAGGGGGAAGCCGCGACGAGCCGGCGACTGGGTGTGTACTTATGGTGCCTCGCACCAAGGACGAGTCCCCACGCACCCTCTCTCCCTTACATTGGGTTCGTGGGGCAAATGCAAGAGGGTCGTTCTGCTGACTTATTTTCTTTTTCTTTTTTCTTTGAAGACAACCGGTTTCTTTCTCCGTCAAGGAGCAACGGCCGGTCAGAACTGAGCGCTCAGTCTACCCTATTGAAAAATATTTTTTTTACCGGAATGTCATTTCCAGTAAAGGTTTACTTTTACTGGATTATGCAACTGTTTTCACTTCCAGCAAAGCCATAGTTTACCGGATTGTCGCCGGATTTTTTATTGGAACGTCACCAATTGTTTTACTGGAATGTCACCGGATTTTTACCAAGATGGCACCGGATATTTGACCAGAATGTCACCGGATTCTGACCGGAAGATAATTCCAGTAAAAATCTATTTTACTGGTATATGGGACTCTTTTCACTTCCAGTAAAGCCAGAATTTACCAGAAGATCGCCAAATTGACCGGAATCAACTGTGTTTTTTCTTTCTTTTTTGGACGTCAATTAACGGAAGGCACTTAAGAGGAAGCCTGTGAACCGTGGTTGGTTATGTTTACCAGATGGTGTATGATTCGGTAACAATTAAAGTGGTTAGTCAATATAGACCTAGAGGTTCTATGTATTTATTTAACAGGGTCGATACCAGTGAAACAATTTGCACAGCTGTAGACAAAAGCAATCAGAACAAATAGGAACAACCAAGTTCTTTGCCGCAAAATATATCTTTCAAGGTACTCACAATGCCGCTGGGTAAATTCCTAGACGCATGGTAGTTCAACTAATAAAACCGCGCAGGTGCACCACACGGACACACACACGTATACTGTCAGCAGCACATTTAGCGAAAACCACGGACGCGCGGAGCGAATATCCGCCGCCGTTGAGAAATCCCGGGCACACTCACGATGTCGTCTCTGATGCCGTGGCCGCGGGTGCACCAGGCGTCAGTAGAACGCTTAGCGAAAACCACGATCGCGCGGACCGAATATCCGCCGCCGTTGAGAAATCCCGGGCACACTCACGATGTCGTCCCTGATGCCGTCGCCGCGGGTGCACCAGGCGTCAGTAGCACGCTTAGCGAAAACCACGATCGCGCGGACCGAATATCCGCCGCCGTTGAGAAATCCCGGGCACACTCACGATGTCGTCCCTGATGCCGTGGCCGCGGGTGCACCAGGCGTCAGTAGAACGCTTAGCGAAAACCACGATCGCGCGGACCGAATATCCGCCGCCGTTGAGAAATCCCGGGCACACTCACGATGTCGTCCCTGATGCCGTCACCGCGGGTGCACCAGGCGTCAGTAGCACGCTTAGCGAAAACCACGAACGCGCGGAAGGAACATCCGCCGCCGTTGAGAAATCCCGGGCACACTCACGATGTCGTCCCTGATGCCGTCGCCACGGGTGCACCAGGCGTCAGCACCGCGTTTAGCGAAAGCCACGATCGCGCGGAACGAACATCCGCTGCCGTTGAGAAATCTCGGGCACACTCAAGATGTCGTCCCTGATGCCGTGGCCGCGGGTGCACCAGGCGTCAGTAGGGAGTTTTAGTAGATCGTTCCGATACCTCCGATAGAACTGATAACGATACTATGCATGCACAAGGGAGGCGGCCGCGAAGTATCGGGATATCGTTATAGGAGTCATGGGAACGATCTACTAAAACTCTCTATTATAACGCTTAGCGAAAACCACGATCGCGCGGACCGAATATCCGCCGCCGTTGAGAAATCCCGGGCACACTCACGATGTCGTCCCTGATGCCGTCACCGCGGGTGCACCAGGCGTCAGTAGCACGCTTAGCGAAAACCACGAACGCGCGGAAGGAACATCCGCCGCCGTTGAGAAATCCCGGGCACACTCACGATGTCGTCCCTGATGCCGTCGCCACGGGTGCACCAGGCGTCAGCACCGCGTTTAGCGAAAGCCACGATCGCGCGGAACGAACATCCGCTGCCGTTGAGAAATCTCGGGCACACTCAAGATGTCGTCCCTGATGCCGTGGCCGCGGGTGCACCAGGCGTCAGTAGGGAGTTTTAGTAGATCGTTCCGATACCTCCGATAGAACTGATAACGATACTATGCATGCACAAGGGAGGCGGCCGCGAAGTATCGGGATATCGTTATAGGAGTCATGGGAACGATCTACTAAAACTCTCTATTATAACGCTTAGCGAAAACCACGATCGCGCGGACCGAATATCCGCCGCCGTTGAGAAATCCCGGGCACACTCACGATGTCGTCCCTGATGCCGTCACCGCGGGTGCACCAGGCGTCAGTAGCACGCTTAGCGAAAACCACGAACGCGCGGAAGGAACATCCGCCGCCGTTGAGAAATCCCGGGCACACTCACGATGTCGTCCCTGATGCCGTCGCCACGGGTGCACCAGGCGTCAGCACCGCGTTTAGCGAAAGCCACGATCGCGCGGAACGAACATCCGCTGCCGTTGAGAAATCTCGGGCACACTCAAGATGTCGTCCCTGATGCCGTGGCCGCGGGTGCACCAGGCGTCAGTAGGGAGTTTTAGTAGATCGTTCCGATACCTCCGATAGAACTGATAACGATACTATGCATGCACAAGGGAGGCGGCCGCGAAGTATCGGGATATCGTTATAGGAGTCATGGGAACGATCTACTAAAACTCTCTATTATAACGCTTAGCGAAAACCACGATCGCGCGGACCGAATATCCGCCGCCGTTGAGAAATCCCGGGCACACTCACGATGTCGTCCCTGATGCCGTCGCCGCGGGTGCACCAGGCGTGAGTAGCACGCTTAGCGAAAACCACGAACGCGCGAAAGGAACATCCGCCGCCGTTGAGAAATCCCGGGCACACTCACGATGTCGTCCCTGATGCCGTCCCCGCGGGTGCACCAGGCGTCAGTAGCACGGTTAGCGTAAACCACGATCGCGCGAAAAGAACATCAGCCGACGTTGAGAAATCTTGGGCACGTCTTTTTCGCTCGCTGGATGCTTCTGAAGACGGACGGACAAGGAGGCGTAAGAAACAGGTCACTGAAAAATATATTCTTTTCACCTACACACCCTGCTGCTTTCGAAGATACAGGTCGCAACACATGGAACGCGAAGCCTATAGCGACGCTGAACGCCTTGAACACTGGACGCCCGCAGTACCAAGGCTGGAAACAAAGTTTTCGAGCTCGTTTTCTGTTTGCGATCTTCACTTCCACGATGATGACATCTTGAAGGTGTTCGAGTTCAACGTTTGTGGTGATGTGGTAGCGATACCGTGCGACAAATGGGCACTGAAGCAAGACGCCGTGCCTCACCAGTTCCCGAGTTGTCCTAAGTATCTTTTTAAACCGACACGGAAACGCAAAGCACCTACTCGCAGATTGTACCCGGCAAAAAGCAAGCGCCGAAAAGAACAAGGTGAGCGGTCGATTGCAGCAGTTCAAGGCGAGTCGAATGCTGTACTTGTTAGTGTGGAGGACACATTGAAGACCGCTGGAGAGGCTCATCGATCAAACAAAGCTAGCTCGAGCAATGAGATTCAGGCTAGGCTACTGGAAATGACATTTCCATGTGTTACTCCTGACCAAATGAGTGATGAGCACAGCTACTTCAGAGGTTCACCAAACAACAGTGTTGCGTATTACCTATCTGGGTATGTTGGTCACAAAGTGAGCAAGCGCACAGAGTGCGAGTTGTGCCTGCATGACATTAGTTCAGCAACCCCTGTCGTCGGTTCTGACGCGTACTTGACCATGTATCGGAGCTTCAAGGAAGGCAGCCTGAGGCACCCCAGCATCAAGAGCCTACACTTCGTGAGAGTTCTATATGAATCAGTTTCACTTTCTCTTGATGAGGAAGGTATCTGTGGGTGCTTGTTTTGGAAGGTCCTGGACGAGCTGGATAAGAGCAGTCTAACGCGGCTGGGTTGTAATCAGCACAAGCCCACGTTCATGTGCCAAGTGTTGTCTTTGTTTATTGTCACGCGGAGGCATTTTTACGCGAGGGATGTCAATCGTCGCCTTCAAATTCTCGAGAAAGTCTCCATCGCCGGCAGAAAAGCTCGTCTATTATAAAACCGTGTTCAACAATTGCATTCCAACGGAGAGTTGAAAACAAGTTCTCAAGCGACTTCAAGTTCTCAAGCGACTTAAAAGTAGGTACTTAAAGTTCATCACGTTTAGGTAGGGCTCCTGAACCTGTAGAGCAGATGTCGTAGAAAGGATAATGCCTCTCAGGATGGGTTTCCACACTGGCTTCTCCGAGCTTTCAATAGAAATAGCTTGAAACAGGTTTATGATGCTCGTCAAAAAAGCAACTGCCTCGTCATACTTAACTGAGTCAAATGTGCTCAAGCCAGCTTTGTAGTTCGAGATGTCATGAGGCGAAACCATTTGAAAATAGTTTCAAGAAACCATGCCGTTGTAAGAGTTTCCCTGTCCAAAATCTGCCGTTCCACCAGTAGGCGCAAGGCAGCAGCAATGTCGTTGTTGAGGAGGGAGAATGCGAAACTCACCTTCATTTCCTCGAAATGTCCAGGGTCCACTGGAGACTGTTTTAAATGCACAGCTATCTTGAGCTCTGAGGTGAAGTCGAGTTCAACCAGTTGTTTTGCGTATTCAATTGCACCCCGTTTGTGGCAACATGTTGTTTTTAAAAACATCGTCCGGGAGGTAGATAGCCTGACCTTTCGTGAGGTAATTGCGGAGGTTTTTCAAGAGGTGTGGTACTTCCGCCATAAAAAAAGCTGCCTGAAAGCGTCGCAGGGATGAGGGCAGGATACCCTGTGAAGTCCAGGCCTACTGACGGTGATAGAAAACTCCTTTCAGACGCCCAGGTTATTTCCTCCCACGGCCGTCACTATGACCTCGACTCTCACGCCATTTTTTCTACGGTTTGGAGAATGTCCACAACGAGCTCTTTGGCCTTTTTCGTGCTACAGAAATGTCCTGTGATCTGCAACGCAATAGTCTGCTTCTAACAAGTAGACTGGCCTTCCAAAATACAGACCAAGCCTTGCGTGGCACGGCACTGATGAGGAATGGTCCCGTCAGATAGGGCAAGCGTTGGCCTTCCAAGGACTGTGCCGCTGGAGGCGTCGTAAACAAGGCTGGCGGTCAGTTGCATCTCGTCGATCATGAGTGTAGCATACCGCTCCTTGGGGTCATCATGCTGATCTGTTAAAAAAAGCTTCGTGATGCACTTGCTCACTTCAGTGAAGGCAAAGGGTTCCAAAGAGAAAATCTTCCTTGCGAAACCTTGCTTTGCTTCGATTGATATATTACTCTTTCTGAGAAAATATGCAACTAAACCCTAGCAAATGCAAATGAATGCGGGTTTCACGGCAAAACCATGCAGCATATACATTGACCGCCATTCAATCTGAATCTGTAAACTTGTACCATTATCCTGGTGTTACTATATCATCGACTTCGACGTGGAAACCGTATAGACATAATAATCGCCAATGCTAAAATATATAGACACTTGTAACCGGGTACGACCGAGATAGACAAGACCGGTTTTTCAGCCTCTTATGGCGTCTTAGGACCAGCTCCGCAGCATCGCATCCGGTCCCAAGACGTCGCAAGAGGCTTAAAAACCGGTCTTTGTCCCTCTCGGTCACACTTGGTTACAAGTATATAAACGATCCTTTGGGATATGTATGACGGAACTTCAAGACGGCCTTAATTAAGTTAAAACTCTTTTATAACACCTTTTCTATGATTTAAATTAAAGTGTGCAGCCTCCATTTGAGGTCTTAACCACGCCATTCTAAATGAAGCTCTTGAACTAGTTCAAAATAATGCCGTTCGTTTTATTCTGTCTAATTATAATCAAACAGCCAGATAATCATCGAAGTCTATTTTGTTCTTACGCTGTTTGTCAAAGCGTAGCAAGTTTCTTTTTTACTTTGCCTGTTCCATAAAATGTATTACCATTAGTAGTTGCGAGATCATTTATTTACACTTCCCACTTATCACGCTTCCTGTGCAGACCATCAGAATGTTATATTAACACATTGCCAAACAAACACCAGTTCTTATTCATTCATCCCGCATACATCAGACGACTGTGATTTTATGCAATGCAGGCAAAGGCAACGCCAAGCGATGAGAGAAAGGGCGAGCAGAAGGGAGGCGAGACGGGAGGAGGGCAATGGAGGGCGAGGAGACAAAGGGAGGGCACTAGAAACGTTAGAGAGCAGAGGAAGTTTCTCTCCTTGTCCCCAGCCTTCCCAGTGCGTGCCGTTTCTCCCCTCACCTGTACTAAACGCATCTAGTGACACGGAGTATGTACCCAGTTATTTTTTTTGCCAATCTTTGTTTAGATTTCTGTGCGATGAGCCAGCATGAGTCATTTGATTTTGTTTATTTTGTTTGTAGCAGATGTTGTGAGCTCTTGCCAATCAGAATGCACCTTTGATGTTTGTATTTCTCATGGAGTATATATATATATATTTTTATTTGTGTTTGTTGTGCTTGTTCCCTTTACAACGCTTTGGCGCTTGGGGGTAAGTAAAATAAATGAATAAACAACTGTTTGAATAAATATCAGCCACGAAATATTTATTTATTCCTTTCTTTCATAACCCTGCCATCCCAAATAAAGGAACACTGACACCCCCCCCCCCCCCCCCCCATTTTTTTATATTCATTTTTTGCCAGCCGCTTCATTATGATGTCGGAGGGCCACCGAATTAATATTTGGCAACAGAGCAGCGTATAGTTTTAATAAAGCCAAAAGACGCAACTGCTCGAAACCGAAACCGAAACCGAAACCGAAACCCGCGAACGGAAGTCGGAGAAGTGAAGAGGAGAGAGTGAGTGGCGGAGGTCACGTGACTACACCCGACCGTGCGCTTTTTTTTCTCCCCTCTGCAAAGCAGACGACATGCGTGGCAGCGTAGCGGGAATTGTTTGCCGTGCGATTCTTTTGCAGTTATGTTTGTTCCGCTCGCTGTTCTGTGCTTCAAGATGAGTTGTTTTCTACATTGAGGAGTTGGAAATGAGTAGTGAGTGCCCGTGGTGAATTTCCGTCATCGGCTCTTAAAAGAATACACCCAAGATGTTGCGTGAAGAGCTGGCTCACATGTCCTGCCTCCGAGAAAAAGTGGAATTGTGCGACAGATTTTCCGAAAGATGAACAAAATCAGGACCAATGGCTGGCTGCAATTCCTGTAGAAGATTTACAAGCACCTCGGAAAGCGGACGCTACCTGATTTATATGAACATGATTGTAAACCTGAGACTGGGGCAGAAAAGAGAACACAGCAGATGGTACAAAAAGAGGAGGCAACGTCTCAAACTCAGCTGCAAAGTTTATTTCATACACGCCTTATATACCACAACTCCAACGCCGTCTCTACAAAAAAAAACATTATGACAAGAGGACAATGAAATTTGGGTAAACCTTCTCTTATCTCCCTTGACCTCGCCTGCGAAACACTCACACAAAGGATCACATTCTAGCATAACCACCGCCACCCGGCGAACGTAGGTGAATCACCATTGAACACAAAGAAAGGGTTTGACCTTCAAAGATGCGTTTCCTCTAACAACTCACTTAGTCCAAAGAAACAATACTAGACACTGCTAACAGCCGGAACTGGGGCCATCTTCAAATCTGCGAACGACATTGCCCTCCTACAACAAACCACAATTGGCCAAACACTGCGACTTTCTCGAACAACTCCAAGGATACACATATAACCACCGCTAATACAAAAAAAAGAAGCTTTACAAGCGTAGAAATAGCTTACATTCGTTCCCAAACTGCAATGACGCCTGACTTATACAGTTGCCAGACGTTTTTATACGAATCGTTTCTTGAATTACACGTTTCATATCATTACGTTCTTTGTGAATTACTTCCGTTTCAGACCAGTTGGCTTTCCAATTATTACACTCTAAAAGGTGCCTGGCTAGCTCGGAATTGGACGCGTTGTTTTCCACATTCCGTTTGTGTTCCGTCATTCTATCATTTAGACATCTCGACGTCTGACCTGCGTATTTAAATCCACACTCCAAAGGAATCTTATAAACCACAGAATTCTCACTCGGTACCGACTTTTCGCGATGTGCCTTCTGGCAAACTTCCTGTTTCGATTCAAAGGGTGTACGTTTGCATAACTTAAAATCGGATGTAAACACTGTTTCTACGCCGAACGTTTTCGCCGACGCTTTTATGTTATGGGAAATATCGCGAAAATACGGTATAGCAACTCGTCGGTTCCTCACACTTGGTTCATCCCGCTTGTCTCTCATTTGAATAGAAAGTTGTCGTTTTATAAAAGTTTTTAGCCTTTTTAGCGCATTAACCAATTAATGATTTCGCAACTCCCGCCTTAACAATTTCGGAGTGACAACTTCGTTTGGGAAGCACCGGTTTAGCCATCTTCCTATTCTATTCCCAACATAAGCCATTTTTCACCTGAATGCGCAAGTCCAAACACTGCAACATGTTCTCCTCTGGTTTTTCTACTGTGAAATGCAACTCCTGGGCCGTTGACCTAATAAACTTTTCAAAATATTCTGATTTTGCTTCTTCAAACGTGCAGACAAAAATATCATCTACATATCTTCTGATTAAGCCCCCGTTGGGTGACAACTCAATCATCCTGTCAAACAATACTTTATTCAAACTGTTGAGGTATATCTCAGCTAACAACGGAGCGACCGACGAGCATAAAGAACCCGGTCTTGCTGCGTGTGAAGCGGACGTCTTTCCACTGAGCTATGAGCTACAAAAGGGACTCTCTCCTCAGTAATAATACAGCCGGTAAACTGTAAGTTGGAAAGTTTGCTGCCGATTTTCCTCCAGCCAAAAGCACTCCCGGGTTAAAGTCGAAGCGCCACGCACTGGTGACATTCGCACCTAGTAAAGAAAACGTACGCGTGCATATTCAACTCAAAGTAAACACTTCGTGCGGTGCTTGACGTTTGCGAGAGGGACGTCTTCTACCAGGAGAAGGGAGCGACGGCTCGGCGACGTCTTCGTGCAAATCGGCTTGGTGGTCGGGCGTATTGTACGGGATGAATACCAATTCTTTTGATCAGTCCCAAATTTCTCTTTT